GCCTTTACTTTTTAACTCAGTTAAAGCGAGCTAAGGTACCATCACCAGAATTAGTAAATTTTTATGTTGCTTGTATTCAATCTGTCTTACTTTATAGATGTCGGGTCTACCATTATAGTATCCCCAATTATTTGAGCTTAAGTTTAGAGCGTGTCCAAAAGAGAGCCTTGAAAATTATATACGGTTATGATAATCATTATAGAGAAGTGCTTCAGATGGCAGAGCTGAAAACCCTAAGGGATCGGAGAGAAGACCTTTGCTTAAAATTCTTTAACAATATCGTCTCCAATCCCTTGGATTGTTTGTACCACTTACTGCCTTTCGATAACCGAGATCAACTTATGGAGTTACGACAACGCAGACCATTTAGAGTTTCCTTTAAAACAAATCAGTTCAGAGATACCTTCATTCCAGTAAGCGCAAGACATTTTAACTAGCATTTATTACAATTGTAAATGTAAATTAGTTCCTTTTTAGGCTTGATTTTATTGTATAGTTCTATTACATAATTTGTACACCTTTGCAATTCAGCTTCCAGCTGCTATTAAGGTATTCTTCTCAATAAACGTCTATCTATCTATCTATCTATCTATCTATCTATCTATCTTGACATTCTTCAGCTCATGGTGGCAATAAACAAAAGTTATCCAGTGAACAATCTTTTCTTGGCCTCTCTTAGCTCATACCGAAAATATTTTGTATTAAGAGTCTTTCAGTCAGACCTAATACAGCTTCACAACAAAGTAGAAGAGAAAGAGAGGGACAATTTACATTTTACAATAAGAGGATCATTTGACATGAAAAAAACTTTATATATATAACGTGTACAGAAGAAAAAAGAAACATCTAAGATATCACCCCTCTGTGATTTCCCTGTTTCTCTTGATAGATTAACCTTATGACTGTGACAATGTATTCTTATCTTATGAGGAAATAAGACTGTCATTATTATCATATTGAGTAATAGCTAAAACAGGCAGGAGACAGAACGTGTATCTTGGGGAATATATTTTACTGTCTTTTTTCTTGTTCGAAAAATTGAATTAAAGAAAATAAAATATCATCTTCATTTTTGTCTTCTTTATTAGTTGCTGAGAGGGTATTGAAGCACCCGCATGTGATTGGAGGTAAAAAGGTGGATCTTACACCATACCAAGCGGTAAACTACTGAATGTAATTGATTTAAGAAAGATCTAAAAGTCTTTTGTCCTTTAATTTACAGTTTGCCGCAAATACAATGCCCTTGCTCGATCTCATTTCGAACGTAGTACTGCAATCTAGTTTGGGGTAATTGTGGCAAAAATCTATCAGCCTTGCTAAAACTGTACAGTATGGAACGCCATAACTGTCTTATGATATTTTGTTTTCTTATCCGTGGTGCTTTTCTTATCATTTGCCGTGCTTGTATTATGATATTCGGTGGTCTGGTTGTTATAATCGGTGACAGTCACCTTATACTCGGCTCTTTATCCAAGGTACTCGGTAATTTCCACATTATACCCGGTGTGAAAGCCCTTATAATCACTGCTAACCGCTTTATAATCGGTGCTTGGATCAATTTTAGTGGTGCAGCTTTCTTTATATTCGGTGAATAATTTGCCATGCTCTGTGCTTTTTACGTAGTCAGTTTGCACCTGATTTGTGGTCAGTTTAGTATCTGGTTTGGTGCATAGAATTGACATCAACAAAGTTCAAA